ATCTGGGTGGTCAAAAATTTCAGATTTTAAGTAAAATAATTTTGTCTTCTATGAAAAACTATTTCAACTTTTTTCTTTGAAATTGTAATTTCAAGGTTTCAAAATAATTTTGCGTGCAAGTATATTACAAGTTACTAGTTGTAACTTACCTTTTGGAAAATAAAATTAGCTCAAAAGGGCAACTAGTAACAATGTGATAAATAGAATAATACTTTTGCAACTCTTAGGTTTTTAAATAACAAAAGTATTGTTTTTAATAGATCTATGGTTATTTTTTAGATACATCATTTTTCAACTAATTATTCAATGTTCACATGAATTTGTACTCTATAATTCAGATTACAATATTAAGTTGTATCATGTTACTTAAAAATAAAGTGTATCAAAAAAATAATCATACCTTTGCCTTTAGATAAGTTGCACCATAATAAAATATTAAACATAATTCTAAGTAAATTAAAAGTCACTGTAAAAGTTTTAGATTTATTGGATAAGAATTGAACTTAAAAATAACAGTTAAGTCTAAGTGTTCAAAAATTAATGAAATTTAACTGTTGAATTCTTTTATATGTGACAAAATAGATTTTTTTTAATTCCAAACCTTGTGCCCAAATAAAGTTCAAATTTTGATGTCAGATAAGTTATCAAAGACTAGATAACAATTAAAAAAAATTTGTGTACTCGCTGTGTCACAATTGGCAGTTGCCTTGTGACTTATGATACTACTCGTGAGCTAAGTTTTATTTCTAAATATACATGTAAATTATTCATACATTCATATAAATTTAGTCGTTTATGAAAATCGGAAATTCTTTCATTTCAATTATATAACAATTAAAAACACTTTTTTGTATATGCATTTTATCATTACACATATTAAAAAATTTATCAAGAGATGAATATTATACTATATTTCTTTGTAACAATATTTATCATCAAAAATTCACTATTGATTTTCTGCCAAGAAAGAACATACAAAGAATTTATAACAAACCCATTGACATTTACTCCTACGACTAACAAAATTATTAATCATTTTGAACTACCATCCGTAACAGATGAATTGTCAATAACATTAAATTTAACCGTTACAAGTCATGGTGGAGATTGGGCGTGTGTTTTTCGTAAAGGTATTTTAAATACGACCGTTATTCACTTATCCCAAGTTATAAATATATACAGAATGAATCTTTTTTATATTTAGGTAATACTGATTCCGGAGATTCCAAACAACGGACACCTTCACTCTGGTTGACAGCAAACAATTCATTTCTGCATCCACGTTTTTCGATAACAGATAATGGTAATTTTGGAAGTAACAGCGACTTTGGAACTGGCCTTCTGACCAACCGATGGTACCATATAGCATATACACTATCAGATACACAAAAACGAATGGATATCTATATAGATGGCATTTGGACCGGATTTTCAAGTATCCAACGGGTTCGGGTTGAATCTGTCATATTCAATGATTTACCATTATATATCGGAAAAGATCTCAATTTTCAAGGATTTACTGGACAAATGAGGTATGCATGTGGAGTTTATCATATTCAATAGAATTAATAGATTTTTAAAAAATATTTTTTTTTTAGCAAGTTTCGTTTTTATAACTTTCGTCTATCTCCCCAAGAAGTATTAATAGATTATTCAGTAAGTTTTACTTTAGATTTTATATATGTATGACCTATTTTAACTTTCTAATTGTTAATTTTTTTTTTTAATTTAGGGTGAAGATCCAACGAAAAGTAATGCAACTACAAGTACAGGTGCAAGTACAAGTACAAGTACAGGTGCAAGTGCAAGTGATAAATGCTCGACAACAAAAATGATGAATACAGTAACAGTTGTTAAATGTTCAAGTGGTATCTTAGCCGGTTCAATTGTGGGAACTTTTTTCAGTGGTATAATATTTTCAGCAGGATGTTTATTTCTGCTAAAACGAAAACGGCAATCACATTATGAAGATGAAGTTGGTGGTAATAAAGTAGTCGAAACATCTCCTAACAATTAGTTCAATAAGGACGTTTAATCTAAACCATCGCGATTAAATTACGTTGTTTTCTAAGCTTGATACTTATCATTGTAGCATAAATCTATATTTAATTAGTATCTAAAAAAGAAAATAAATTAAATAAATTTGCAAATTTATATTGGTTGAAGAAGAATTTTGAAAAATATAGATTAACGTGCTAGGTCAATTTTTTTTTGGATTACTAAACAATAATTTGATATTTTTGCAAAATTTACATTGGTACCAGATTATATCTACTAATTAAATTTACTATGCTATGATTAAGGTCCCACATTTACTATTAATAATTCTTTATGAATCACAAATTAAAGAAAAGCTGGAAAGGTGAAAATGACATCTTATATATAAAATTTACACAATTGTTAGGCATTTTTTTATTACTTTTTGTGTTAAACCTTATGACAAATTTTTGATGATCTATAACGCGATTAATTAAAATGTATCTTTAGTTTATTTTGAATTTGGAAGATATCCTCTTAATCACTACAACAATTAATTCTCTCGTAACAGTTTTAGAGGACACTTTTCAAAATGTACCAAATTCAAATTAATTAAAATTTATTAATTACGATTTTTATTTTGGGTAAAGTTAAAAAAATTAGATGAATAATGAACTTATGCATCATTTAATTAATTATAATTACATTTTAAAGAGGGAATTCAATTATCAAAAGGTGAATATTTTTTTAACAATATTTATAATCAAAAATAGAAATCATATCATAAAGATAAGGTTGGTAATAAAGTAATCGAAACATCTAACAATAAGAATGTTTCTAAAACTTGATACTAATCATGTGCGTTCAGATCACATGTAGCATAAAATCTAGTATCTAAAAAAATAAAATTCTCTTGTATGCTTATATTGGTCGAAGAAGAATTTTGAAAAATATATATTCTTATAAATTAACGTGCTAGGGTGGATTACTCTACACAACAATCTGATATTTTTGCAAATTTTACTGGTACCAGATTATGTCTACTAGTTATGATTAAGATCTCATATTTACGAATTAAAGTGAAAGGGACATTCTTATATATATATTTTTAACATAATTTATTACAATTGTTATGCATTTTGTTAATTGATCATTAAAAATAATAAATTACGGAGACAAATTTCTATTCGTCCTAGAATTTTAAGTAACATTATAAATATAAAAAATTCAAAAGATAAATAAATACTGATTTTTTATTTTTTTGTTACAATTTTTTTTAGTCCCAAAAATTTACAAGTGTAGTAACACTTAAAAAAAAAAAGTGCCACATTAATTAAATTTACAATTTTTCATTACAAAGTTTTAAACTTTGGTTTGAAAAAAAAAAAAAAAAAAAACTTCCTAGTAGTTCAAGTAAACAAGGGGAATATAGGAAATATAAATGCCGCGTCTAATAAATGATAATAATAAAAGAATAAAGACAAAAAAAAGAACAGGGAAATAAAAAATAAATGCTTTGTCTAATAATAAAATAAAATAAAAAATAGGGGAAAAATTTTTTTTTAAAAAAGACCACTAAAATTTGTAGCACCGACTCGGAGAATATATATCATGATTATGCTATTATATAAACTATCGTGAGAATTTTATGATGAAAGATTCTTATTGGACTTTAATCAAATCACAGCCCAACACTTTTTAAGGATAACTTGAAAAAAAAAGTTTAAACGTAAAAATTAAAATTTTTTTAATCAAAAAATTATTGGTTAGTCATGGATCAATATCCATTGTACTATTATTATTATTATTATTATTATTATTATTATTACTACTATTATTACTACTATTACTACTATTATTATTATTTGATCTACTTGTCTGTGGGGATAAATTAGTCTGTTGTTGTCTGTATTGACCATTATTGGTCGCGATAGTTGTTTGGATTTGTGCATTATTTGCATGTAAAAATGCGGTATTTGTTTGATTTTGACGAATTTGAACATTGTTCATAGATGGACTGTTTGTATTGTTAATGACATTTGGTGATGGACGTTGTTGATTATTGTTAGCTGGTAAAATTATTTGACGATTGGGGGAATTCGTTTGTATCATGTTCACCGCACCGGGTAGAATAAAATTATGACGAATACCTGCATTTGATTGAACAGTAGGTTGTACATTTGTGGTTTGTCGTACAGCCGGATTGCTTCTATTTACCTAAAATATTAAATATATATATATATATATATATATATATTTTAATATTGGTAACAACTAAAAATACAAATTAATTAAAATGATTATCATGTAACTTACCATATTAGGCGATGGGTTGACACCTATAGACGAATGTCTAATCATGGGTGTCGAACTACTGTTCGTCTGTTGTACATTATTCATATTCATACCGAAAAGTTTAAGTTCATCTTGAGTGAAATTACCAATTCTAATATAAGGGCTAAGTGAACCATTAGATCGTACCATATTATTAACATTACCAGGATGAACAAAAGCTTGTTGCGATCCATTAGTGACATGTGCTACTGTTGTATTAACCCCGATAGGTGTTTGTCTCATGTTCTGTCTAATAATCATATTGTTAGAACCATTCGTTTGTGATTGATTATTATTTACAGTGTTAGCCACATTGGCAATCATATTTTGTGGATTTAGGTTTTGTGAAAGGTTCGAAGTTTGATTATGATTGTTCTGATTATGATTATTTAAATTTTGATTTGTTCTTTGAATTGGACTTTGAGTCTGATTACTGGAATTATTATTAGAATTTTGATTTGGCTGTGTTCTTGGCTGATTTTGACGCATCAAAAGAATTTGTCGCTGCACGAGACTCATTTGTGCTGGTGAATTAGGATCTTGAGGTGTTGAAAATTTTTCTCCTCGTGAATTAGGTGTTCCCATATTAGAACGTGGAGTATTTGGAGTATTTGGTGTATTCGTGGGCAATGGTGATGGATGTGATGAATGTGAATTTACAAAAGTAGATGGTGAGGATGTTTGTTGTACTTGAGTGGCTCCATTTAAAAAGGTGGATGATTGAACTTGTCCTCCATTTACATAAGAGTTCTGGTTATCTAATATTACCATTCGACCGCCTATTTGAACAATGTTCATTTTTGTTGGATCAATCATTTGGTTATTACCATGTAACATAATACCTGAAGTAGTTTGAGAATGTTGTGCGGCATTAGGATCTACCATCGCAACTCCATTCATTATAGTTCCTTGATTTGAAGGATTGCGTGACATATTGGCAATTATCAAGTTATTATTGTTTATTAGCATTCCTTGGTTAGTACGTTGAAGTCTTCTTGGATCAATTGCTTGTCCAACATTTATTCCACCACCACCACCACCACCGGAATTTGAACTAGAACGTGTTATAGAGTCATTGTTCGTTGAATTAGATACATTGTTTATAACACCTCCGGGATTAGAACCTGAACGTGTAAGAGATGCATTTACAAGAACTGTATTATTCATTGTAGTAACCACTTGTCCAGCATTGTTTATTGCTCCACCAGAACTAGAGCCAGAACGTGTAAGAGAAGAGTTATTCATTGGTGAAACAATTTGTCCTGCATTATTTAAAACTACCCCGGGATTGGAATCTGATCGTCCAAGGGAGACAGTAGTTATTGGACCAACAACTTGTCCTGTACTATTTATAATCATCCCTGGATTAGAACCAGTACGAGTGGTATTTATCGGCGTGACTACTTGACCATTGCTGGTAAATATTACATTATTTGGACTTACAACCGTTTGCGATATTCCATCCCCATTGATTTGAGCAGCATTCGAAGGAATGTTGACTGATGGACGACGGGATGGAATTTGTGCAGAAATTGGAATAACTGGAACCGTTATAATTGCTCCTCCTTGATTTGATAATGGAATAGTTGAAGCAGTCATATTGGGAGTTCCCACACTTGTTGCAAGTGTACCTCTTAAATTCGTCCCAATTCGATTACCTATATTGGTAAACGTAAATGTAGAACCTGAATTTGTAGAATTCTCAGGAATTCGATTGTTTCTTTGCGAATTGCGTCTATAAGGTGACAAATTATCGCGATGGTTGGTAGAAACGGGAGACCTAACAGCATGTCCGTTATGTCCAAGTGATCTTTGCTGTGATTCTCCATTTAACCTTGAGACCCCATTTAAATTTTGATCGGCCGTTGAACGATGATTGCCAGAAAAAGGAACACTATTTAATAGCGTTTCTCGGATAGAATTTGGATCGGCAGTTAAATTTTGACTACGACTTGTCATTTGAGTAGAAATTGAAGGGTTATTGGTTCGTTGATCTCGCATAATGATTTGTGGTTGATCCCTCTGAACATTAGCATTGTTGAACGAACGCGGATCGACGAATGCTGCTTGAGGATCAATATTTGTATTCAATCGAGATTCAACATTACGTTGTGTAGAATTGGTCCGCGGATCATTAACTGTCCTTATATTTACACTAGGTCTTTGTTCAATAGTTCTCAGATCAATATTATTAACCCTTGGCAAAAAGTTTGATGGACGCTGTACGTCAATATCAATATTATTTCGTGAATCATTATTTATGCGAGGAACCTGATTTTCTACCCTGTGTTCAGTATTTTGTACAGCTTCAGAATTAGGTCGAGACTGTGATGCTTGGCCGGATGATCTATTGTCGGAATTCGAACGTATGTCCGTGTTTCCTTGAGACAATGTATTAATTTTGGCATTTATAAATTCTTCCCGTGTTGGTTGTTTGGGAGAGTTCTGCTTTTCCTTTGAATGTTTACGATATGTACTAAGATTTTGATAATCTTCATCTGTCAATATTTTCCATATGATTGGACTGTGAAAATAGAAGTTTAATTAATAATTAGCAAACCGATAAAAGTTGAAGAATAAAAAAATGAATAAACAAAAGCATTACTTGTCACTAATCTCTTTATCTTTCATCTCTTCATCTGCATCCACGGTTTCTTCGTCATCAGTATAATAGTCTTCATCACTGCATATATCTTCCTCTTCATCAGTATCATATTTAAACCTCCAATTCTCTATTTCCCTTGAAACGCGGAATTTGGTAGTTTCACTTCTGTCAAGTGTGTAGCGTCTACGACCACCACGACCGAAACGACTTCTGAATGCAGATGGATAAGATGATGTCTTGAACCGTCTGTAGTAGGTAGAAGGTAACGGCTTCAACGTAAAAAGATAAGGGAACTAAAGTAATAACTGTTAGATAAATGAAATACTTTTACAAATTCATTTATATCAATAAATAAGATACTTGCATCTGTAATATCCGTCAATGAAAGATCGGTATCTTTCTTTGATGCCTTGACAGGATTTTTCCTTAGTCTACAAAAGGAATTAAGAAGAATTTAATAAATTATATATAAATTATGTAAATTAAATAGAGTAATCAAAAGAGCTTAACAAAAATAGAGATATTAAAGACATGTGACATACCCAACAATTTCATACTGTGAAGTAAATGGCTTTTGTTTTTTGATCTGTTCATTCAATCATAATAAATAATATTTCTTTAAATTCAAAAATATTGATTGTAGCATGCACTACCTTTTGTGGATGCTTCTTAATGCCCAATTCCCTTTGCAAATCTTTCACTTGACATTCTAATGTGAACACTTTACGATCGATACCAATCTTTTGTTTTTTAACCTTTTCGCGTGATTGTACTGAACCCAACAGATCACGTCCGCTTTGAAGGTCAACCCGTATATTTTTTAACTTGTTGACAGACTGTGCTTCGGTTCGGCGTGTCCGTCTAACTGGTCTAAGTTCACGACGACGAAAACAGACATATGCATCATCGTCGTCATCTTTTTTGGCTTCGACTGTCTGTGATAAAGTGATAAATATATAAAAAATGAAAATTAATTTTGAAAAAAGTTGATCTTTGGTTATGAAATTTGTTCATACGAGTTTACCTTTTTTTTTTTATCGTTTTTATCAATCTTATTATTTTTAGGCTTGTTGATAGGAGCAACCGTTGTTAACCAATTGCCACCAACCTTTATTTCTGGCATCAATTGACTAACTTTTTGGTAGTGAATAATATTCTGATTTCTTCGTGCTTTCCAATGAGTATATACGATTTCTACGTCTTCTACCCAAGGTAATAATTTTTCAGGTAATTGTTTTAAACAATCTTCCCACGAGGGTAACTTTCTTTCAGCCTATTTCATAATGTATAATGATAAGTAATGATGAATAACCATAAATCCGTAATGAATAATCATGAATCCGTAATGAATAATGATGAATCTATAACATTAAGTTCAAGATCAAGTTATTTTTACTTCTTACCAACATCAATGGTCGCCTTTTTGCAACCTTCTCAAAGAAATCCATAATCCTTTCTAGCGTATTTGCTTCAAGAGGCTTGGAATTCTTTTTAGAGTTATGCTCTTGCAACCAATTTTCGTCGACTTCATCAAGACAGTACAGACATCCTATACACTCTTCAACTGGCAAAGAGAATTTAATGTATGATTTAGGATGTTTGTAATTAGGATCGAAAAAAGGTTCTTTTTCTATATCTCCTGCATCCCCGCCTATTTCAGGGCACGGAATTGCCGGCTCGTCATCCTTTCCCGGAACATCATCATTTACTTCATTTCTTTCGATCATATTATGCTGTCTTTCAACCAGATTCTTGAAATGAAGTTCCTGTAAACATGATCATGTGACATATAATGAGCATGCGACAAATACAGGTACCCCCGCAGCAAGACAAGAGAAATATACAAAGTCAAGTAAAAAATTAAACATTTCGAAATCTTTTAACACTATGCAATACTCTTTATTGCTTGGAGAAGAATAACTTCAAAATTTGTGTTTTTTATACACTAGATTAATTTTTTAAGGCTTACTTCATCTTCGCCTTTTTCGACTCCAGTGACGACTTCAGGATTTTCCCTAATAACTTTAGAAAATTCTTCGTCGTCTACCTCTGAAGCCAACTTAACACACATACCCTTTCGGGTGTCTATCTTTCTTGGACGGAACTGCATACGGCTAAAATTACCGTTTAATACAGCTTTAAATGACATTTGACATATGGCAATGTTTTGTGTTTTGAATGTCCTTCCCGCAAATAAAATTACTAGTTTACGGTTATTGAAAGTATTTTAAATATGTATAACGATTAATATGAATGCTAATTTTATCTCATTAGCTTCTGAATTTATCAATAGTGGGGGTTTTTTTCGTTTAAGACACTCAAGTTTGAAAAAAAAAACGGTGTAACCCCGGGGTTCCCGGGTAATTCAAGAGTCATGGGTTGCAAAGTACGACTATGTGACGGTAGCACGTGACACTTAGTTTACAGCATTTTTAATACTTTAGACAAATTAAAAATTAAATAGTGATTAATCATCACACCACTTCCGATAAATTCGATAAACAAGAGCGATATATATCTTGTTTACGAAATAACGAATTAAACAACAACGCGTGTAATTTGGAGGACGACTGAAGATATTCCAATAAGAAATGTGCAATAATCATGTAAGCAAAGTATATCGATTTTGTCAATCTTTCGATATCATCGTAAAGGTAAAACACTTACCCTAAAGGTTATCGTATTATAAAATTGGTTAAAACTAAAATAAACTGAGATATTAATAGATGATTATACACTCACCATAATTATTTTTAGGATTTTTAGGATTACTTCTGAATCTTTTCTGTATTATCATATACAAGTTTTGGTTTTCTTTTCATTATCCAGACCTTTGGTCCAATAATAATTTTTGCCGGCATTAAAGAATCTATATTATCAAGATTTCTTGAAAAATTGAACCAATTTCGTATTATGTGACTTGGATTTTCAAGTTGAATTCTTTCATATCCATAAATAATATCAATTGGTTCGAAATATTCATTATGAATATGAGGATTAGATGTCAAAATGTGGGTATATCCAACATATTCTATGGGTTTGGAATGGTTCTCATTCTTACTATATTCCCAATCATTGTAAAGTTGTCCAAATCGAGATGCCCCGGTCATTGCCGTATATACATCAAGATGTATACGAGCTATAATGAGAAAAGGGAGAAAAGGGGTAAAAGGAGGAAAAAGAGGGGAATAAATATATATATAATACAATGCCAACATAAATATAAATAAGTTTAATGAGGTTACTCAACCTTGGGGGTAATCACTTTGGATAAAATGTAATCTTTGCAAAGCCATTCCTCCAGGATAATTGTGGCTTGATATAATCATCATTGCCGTGCTTGCCATGAAACTTGCAAATAAAAGAGTAATGATTATTCGATGAATAAATACTGATCTAAGTTGTCTAAACGGTAAGCAAGGTCAATCAATCTTTAATAAAATCAATACTAAAACCATTAAAAATAACCATTAATAAATTTATATTAAAAAATACGAACATCCAGACCCATCCAATAGCTGCGCAAATATTGAATATTGGCACAGTATAAACAATAAATCGCCATTCTTTGTGTCCAATGAAAGAAAGCCCAATTATTAAAGATATGGCAGGTAATAAAAATCTGCGTGTGCGAGCATCAACAAACATAGAAAGAATACTTAATGGGCCTGATACTAAAAGAAGACGAGGAAGAAAGGACGTGAAATAAGCATGGAAAGGTGAAATCTTTAACGGGAATAATGAATAAAAATTATAGTCAATATAATTTTTTTTTTTTTTAAAAAAAAAAAGAACATACAAACAAAAAATAAATAAGTAATGGTACTTACACCCCATTCGATACTTTTTCCAAGAATTGCATTAAAATAAAAGACGAACCCTTCTGGCCACATTATTTTTTCATTCCAGAAATATGAATCGATTATTATAGATATTACTATATAATTTAAAAACAGATTATTTTATATTATTATCAATTCATCTAAGTTATCTAATTTAATATACAAAATTTAAATACATACATAAACTAATTAATGTTATAAACATTCCAACTCTTATTGCATCCAGAAAACGTAAACTTCCTAACGATAATTCCAAAAGTACAATTGGAATTAATAGTAGGATCAATTCAAATCTAAATATAATTGTAGTAAAAGTCATATAGCGAATAGTCGACAACAATTTCCTTTTTGGTTCAGTAGAGGAAATAGCAGAAATCCAATGAGAAAAGGCGATAATAACTATTGATAATTATATTAGAATTATATTAGAATTTTATTTTCGTCAAGAAAATTTCATCTTCTGATAAATACCAAATGGGAAAGCCAGTATATTTGGCAATGTTCTACTTGCCCAAAATATGGTGTGAAATTGGCAAGCGCTTAATAGACTAAAAGCAATTGAAACTTCCTTTCCAAATGTTTTAGAAATTGATGAACGAAATTTTGAAAGAGCAAAGACTACGAAAAGACCAAGGTAAAAGCGTACTGTAGAAATAAAAAGAAAATAATGAATAATATTATTATTAAAATGTTTCGGGGAACGTTTGGGTAAATTGGTTATTCAAAAATCCTTTTTGTAACCTACACACGTATTGACGAGAAAATTTGCTTAGGTGAGGAGCAAAAAACTCCAATATTTTACTTGTAGGCCAACTAACACTACTCAAAAGTAAAGGGCCAACAAAAGTGCGAGGAACAACACCAGGAAATTCAAAATGATCAAACTGAAAAGAGTCAGTAAAATCAAGTCACTCTTACTTCTTATTAGTGACTCAAAATTTATTATTAAAGCGACAATACTTTTTTCAAGGAATCCTGACTTATTCCGTATTCCATTAGGTCATGAATTGCTTGAAGGTTAAAACTTTCTTCAACTTTAGTAAAAGGGCAGAATACTATGTGCGCTGTTACTAAAAGACAGAGAAGAAAGTCATATTTGTCCATATCTCTTTAAACTAGAGAAAAAAAAATATTTATATTAAAACTAGAGAAAAAAAATTATAAATTATAAAAATTATAGAGAACTGAGAGGAGGAGGTGTATAATAAATAAATAAGCGTGGCTTAGAATAAAACGTGACGAAAGTATACATGTGGAGATTTGTATTGGATTGGGCCAATCCAGATTCAATCCAGATTTGCAGAACACGATTCGTGTAACCAACATCAATCCAATCCAAATCCAATCCAGGTGTGAACACACCCATTGTGTAAGTCGGATTCTAAATACAAAAAAGGTAATTTTCTTGTTCTGAACAATGAGCTATTGAGAATACAGTTGATTGGTTCAGCCATAGTTATTCAATAATCTGATCCAATTTTAATTTCGGCGCAAGTAAACGGTGTGGCTAAGTAAAATAATTAAAATATTTATCACTCATGTCACACCTTCCTTATGTGGGGCATACTGAATAAAACTTTAATATCCCATAACTCCAATCTTTCCATTTATGATCAAAACCGATTTCTTATGTTTGGATCTTTGTGAACAAATAAAAAAAAGAGAACATAAAAGTTCGGGGTCGAATCTTATGAAAACATTATCGGTTCCGCGTTCCCGTTCTCGAGATAATTTGGTTTTTAGTCCTTCGTTATGTTGAATATTTTTCTTGAAGTTTCAATATGGAATGAAGACCAGACACTATTATTATTTGAGAACGTACATATTTATTACAAAATTACTTGTGGTTATTTACAGAGCACTTTTATCTTTCAAAAAGGGTGGAAATTTTACATAAAAAAATAGTACAATGATAAAATACAATAAAATACAATACAAGTTAATTAAATTTACAATTTACAAAATAAATAAATAAATAAATAAATAAATAATAAATATCTAAGAAATTAATTAAATATCTAAAGAGTTAATTAGAATGATTTGTTGAACTAGATGAAAGTACAGATGCGATAGAATTACTTCTTTCAAGTCGTGATTTCATCTTTTCAATTTCTTTTTCAAGTCTATTATAGATTGAAAATATAATAAATGTTCGAATTAATAAATCAAATTTTAAAACAAATTTGCATTTAAGATATGTACCTTAATGAACGTTCTCGAGATTCATTGGCTTCACGCTCTGCTCTCCTTTTACTTAATTGTAATTCACTTTCCGAGTTTTGCTTTAAAATATAAATAATATAAATGAATAAATATAAATAAATAATTAATTAATTTAATTAAAAAAAGTACATACCAGTGATTCAATGGATTCCCGCATTTTTGCAACTTTCAGTTCATATTTACTAATTTCTGCTTCACAACGTGTTTTAGCTTTGTCACGTTCCGAAAGTTGATATTGCAACTCACGAATTGTTCGATCGTTTTTTCGTGATATTCGCAAAGTTTCATTTTTTTCTCGTGTCTCATTATCAAGTTGGATAGTTAATTCTTCGAGCCGTGATTCAAGACGTTTTACTCCTCGTGGAGATGTCATTAATTTGGCTTCTAGATCAACAATTCGAACGTTCAATTCATTAATTTGCTTTTCCAACACCATCTATTAATAAAATAATAAAATAATATTAAATATATATTACAGTTCATATAGATAATAAAATTTGAGAATAAAATAAACAATAAAAATACCTTTGATTTTATTAGATCTTGATTCTCTTCCCGTTCCTTAGATAATTCGGTTTGAGCGTCTAAAGCTGTTAATTCAGCCTTGCGTAATTTCTCTGTAATTATAGAACTAGCTGCTTGTTGTTCTTCCACAAGTTGTCGAAGCTCCACAACTTCTTTATCTAAAACGCTAATGTTTCTTTCAGCAGCATTCTTATTTTGACTAGCATCACTATATTGTTCTCCAATGTCATCAAGACGTTCTTCAAGATTTCTTTTCAATTTCTCAAGAAGCATCTTTTGTGATTCGGCTTCCTCTAATGCTGTACGTAATGTCCTCATTTCGGATAATAAGGCACTAACTTGAGATTGAAGTTCATCGTGAGAGACCAATGCATCATTATACAACTGAGTTAACTCAGCGATTTGAATATCATATCTTTCCTTCTCTCGTTTCCACAGAGCTAAATTATTATTGACTTCCGATTTATTCAATAATTCTTCATTTTCCATCTGCAAAATCTTGTTTTCTTCTCTTAGACGAGAAATACTGCTTCTTTCCGTCTCAAATTCATCAGTGAGCTTTATTAATTCAATTTGATACTTCTTTCTTGTTTGGTCAAGAGAATATTGAATATCTTCAATGTCTTTTTTGTATCTTTCACGTTCTTCATTAAATTCATCGGTTAAACGTGAACGAAGTAAATTAAAGTCTGCAATTTCAGCAGCATCATCATCCATCTTTGCCTCTAATTCCATTAATTGTTCTTCAAGATATCGAGCCTTGTCTTGAGCAATCTTTCTATCATTAGAGGCTTCCACTAAAGATTGCTCCAATTCTGTAACTTGGAGTTTCAATAATCCCTCAGATTTTTCAGCTTTGAGTCTGGAGAGCTCAGCTGCATCAAGTTTAGATGACATCATTTCCACTTTTGATTTGTAAGTGTTTGACGATTCTACTGTTTCAGCATATTTGATTGTTTCTGTCTCATATTTTAGCTGAGCATCTTGCAATTCCGCAGCCACTTTACGACGACTCGCGGCTTCCTTTTGTTTTTCATGAATTTCGTTATCTAACCTATTTCGCATCTCTTCGATTTCGGCTTGAAGTATTTTATTGGCGCGCTCAAGTTGTATAATATCTTTATGTCGATCTTCTGCCTCTTTTTGCGCCAATAATTGAGCGGGTGCATTTAAAAGGCCAAGTTCTTGCATTTGAATTTCATAAGTTTTCTTTGATCTTAAAAGTTGTTCGCATTGCCCTTCGAGTTCATCAAGTTCTTCAAGCGTTTCTCTAACCTCCTCTTCAAGATCCATCTCTCTTTGACGCGTTTGTTTTAACATTTCTTCTTTTTCAAGAGCTAAAGAACGTTCGTTGTGAAGAAGTTCTTCCGAAGCTATTTTCTCTATTTCAAGTTTCATATTCACAGATTCAAGTTTTTTTCGTTCTTCAGTCTCTAGTAAAAGTTTTCCTTCAAGTTCACGTATGCGATTATCTTTAAGTCTCAATTGTTCTTCGAATCGAACACTGCTCAACATTGGTCTGACTTTGGAAAAAAGTTTCCACCAAGGATCTGCCCGAAGGTTATTATAAAATCGAACATTTCTTTGAATGACAAGTACTGATTGAAGTTTTTCTTCAAGTTTCTTATGATCTTTCTTTACAAGCCATTTTCTACAATATGCTTGGAACTTAGAGAATACATGTGAAAGTTTTGTATCACGTTCTTCTTCCAATTCTGCCAACTAAAAAAAAAAGATGCAGAAAAATATTTTGTTTAAAGGATTAATTATGAAATAAAATATAAAAAATAAAATATAAGAATATAACATGAAAGAATTCTTACCACACCAGCACGGAAGAAAACTTTACTTAACCCGATTCGATATTGAGTACTCTCTAATTTAAAAGCTTCCAATAATCTTTGTGCAGCTTCTCTTCCATCCATAAAGCCTGCAGGAATAATTCCAGGAGTTAAAATTTCATAACGTTGACGGAATTCAATGAAACCTAATCGGTTAGGAAAACCAGCACGACAAATTCGGATTCCTTCAAGGACACCATTACATCTTAATTGATCAAGAACAAGAGGCACATCCATTTTACCAGATTTTTTTCCATTGTTAGGTAGAATGCATCGTACAAAATGAGGATGTGTGGAATATAATTTTTGCATTAAAGAATGTAATTGTTCTTTATGACGATGACCAACTGTTCTAAATGCACCACGTTTAACACGATTCTTTTTGTTTTCATCAATAAAATCCTCAAGGTAATCAGAAAAGAGTGAAGTGATGTATTTATCTGAAGAATAGGCTAAAAGACGAGTGATATTCTCATTAAGAGGATCCTTATTCTTATTAAGCCATCCTTCTGTTCTATATTCGACTTTTCCAGCATAATGTTGAAGAATGAATCCTTGTTGAAAACGAGGGATTTGATATTTTGATGACTTATCTTTCCAGAGACTATGTAATTTCTCTACAAAAGTTTTTTCTGTAGCTTTTGGCATCACACACTCTTCGTCAAGACAAGATAAAATACCTACAGGCTAGATATTAAGAAAAGTAATTACGAATAGATATTAAATTATCGTAAGAAATAGATATTAAATTATCGTAAGATACAATATATATTATGTGCTATTATATATACAGTAACTAAAAAGAAAAAAAAAGAAATCTTTCATACATTCGCTTTATCGATCAGATCAATTGTTGGTTGTAGGTCTAATCCAAAATCAATAAATTTCCATTCTATGTTTTCTTGTTTATACTCTTCTTGCTCCAAAACAAACATATGATGATTAAAAAATTGTTGAAGTTTCTCATTGGTATAATTGATGCATAATTGTTCAAAACTATTTGTCTTTTTAATTATATCAAATTATATTAAAATTATATTAAAAATTATATTAAAATTATATTAAAATTATATTAAAATTATATTAAAATTATATTAAAATTATATTAAAATTATATTATGAATTGTTATAAATAATCCGAAAAATCAAAATATAAAAGAATTTACCTCGAAAATTTCAAATCCTGCAATATCAAGCACACCAATAAAATTTGATTTTCTTGCGGGACTATCAACAGCCTTGTTTATTCTATTGACCAATACACCAAAACTTCGTTCATATAACGACTTGGAAAGAGCTTCAATCGAGTATAAAACTTGTTCTTTAGTACGGGCCTGTGTAACCCATTCACGACCAGCTTTAACCTGAGGTTTGAGCAATCCTTTAATAAAAGCTCCCACTGGAATGCCTAATACATGACAAACTTTTTCAACAACAGATGTTTCCAAAATTTGTGCTTGATCATCTCTATTCGAAGCGACATCAATATTTCCAAGAAGTAATACAGCAGCAACTACATTGAACAGATCCATTTGTTCCTCTTGTGAAATTCCAACAATATTCATGGCTTCCTGAAATTATAATGGAAAATGTTTTAAAATTATTATATAAGAATCTTAACGAAATAATAAATATTATAATAAATAATATAATAAATACCACAAGGTTTTGAAATTCTATAGCATCATCTACACCGTCAATAACTTCTTTTGAATATTTGATAAATCTGTAATCACTTATTGTTCCATCCAAAAGTAATTTATCTAATAAATAAATAAATAAATTTTAATAATAAATATAATTAAATTGACAAATTTAAATTAAAATGACTTACTTTTTATTTGAGGAGAAGCACCTTTCAGTAATTGATAAAAGATGTGAAAATTACGTTCGCCTGGAGTTTGATATGTGACGCGAGATTTTTCTAACAAATATCTTTCAATATTTGCTCCAGCGATCTGGCCAGTTGAATTAAATTCAATACGAATAAACTTGCCCTATTAATTAAGTTAAATTAAATTAAATTAAATTATTTTAAATCAAAATTAAATTAAATTAAATTATTGCAAATTGAAAAATTAAATAATAATAAACAAAATAAACTTACAAAGCGAGAAGAATTATTGTTACGAATAGTTTGAGCATTACCAAATGATTCAAGTATAGGATTTGCTTGAAGGATTTGTTGCTCAAGTTTACCCGAATTTTTCTTCTTGGAACTATCACTGGCAATTGTTGCTATATATTGAATTACCTTCTTTGTATTTTCAGTTTTACCAGCTCCAGATTCACCACTATAATTATTTGATTATATTATTATTAGTTATTATATTTTTAGTTAATAAAAACTCAATGAAGTTAATTATACTCACGTGATCAATATGGACTGGTTTTCACGTTCTACCAACATATCATGGTAAGCTGCGTCAACAATAGCATATATATGAGGAGGCATTTCATGTCGCCGTTTATTTTTGTAAGATCGAATGATTTCATCCGTATAGATCGGTAATTTCTTATAAGGATTGACTGCAACCAAAAAAAGTCCGGAATACGTCTATTTTATTTATGAAATAAAAGTTTCGTGCGTATGAATCTCAAAAATCAGAATTTGATAATAAAAATAAATTATTAAAAAAAAACTTACATATATTAAATTAGATAGATACCGTAACCGGAGATTATGGACCACGGATGCTTCATTCAAATGTGTTAAATCGGCCATATCTTCCGCCTTGTCAAATTTGGGTGGATTCATTTTTGCTGTTTCGCTTATACAAACTACGCGAGTCTAAATAATTTATTTTTAAATGCTAATGAGAAATGTGAATTATTTTTTATAAATTGAATAAAAATTGAATATAAAAAAAAAAAATTGATACCGAATCATCATTCAAACGAACTTCAACTTGTTCTCCCATTTCTTTAGTTATGTGACCAGCGACATATCCCGCATTCTTATCTTCAACCCAAACCCACTTTTTTTCATTAAAAGCAGCTTGAGCTACAGTGTCAACTATTACAGAACTTCGAACACTATTTGAAATGCGTCGGAGGACTTCTTCACCATGTGGTTGATAACTAAAGGAATTTCCTGTAGAATGTTCAGTCATTAACATATTGATGTAGTATTATTATAAGAGATGATCAGCTTTAATATAAGAATGTTAAAGAAAAAAATTGGAAAGATAACGAAAAGGGAGTGAATTCTTAAATCCAAATTTTTTAAATTCTTCCATACTTTAAATGGTTTTTTTTATGAGTCAAATCATTCTAAATTAAGGAGTACATAGTTTATCATAGTTTAACTATGCATGTATATAATTACATGTGCAATTAAAGTAAAAATTTAGGGGTATATATTAAAGCATGAACATTACATAATTAATTGAATTTAAAAGAACAAAAAAGGTGATGACTATGAATTTCGTCACTAATTTTATAATATTTATAGTTTTTGTTCGGAATAATTGATATTCAACCCATAAAAGGATAATTTTGGCACAAAAAAAAAATAGGATATTTAAATAAAATTCCTGGGGTTTTCTTATGATTTTTTACAACAATCTCTTCTCCTTAAAAAAAAAAAAACGGAAAATTTACTCCACCATGGCAAATATCAGTCTCACTGCTTATGACCCAGAACAAGTTAGATTGATGGAAGAAATGTGTATTCTTGTTAATGAAAATGATCAAAGAATTGGGGCTGATACAAAAAAGAATTGTAAGGATTAAGAATTCTATTGTTATTTCTATTATTATTATTATTATTATTATTATTGATAATAATAATTTTTAATTTTAATTATTTTAATTATTTTATTTGTTATTGAATGTAGGTCATCTTATGGAAAACATTAACAAAGGACTTCTTCATAGAGCCTTTTCGGTTTTTCTTTTTAACTCGGAAAACAAATTATTATTACAACAACGTTCTTATGATAAAATTACCTTTCCCGGTCAATGGACTAATACTTGTTGCTCTCATCCTTTGAATAATCCACTTGAATTGGAAGAAAATGATCAAATTGGTAAATAGTTTTTTTTCTAAATTCATTATTAAAATCTTTTAATCAAAATTTTTTATCTATTAAGATATCACTTTTATTTTTCAAAAGGTGTACGCCGTGCAGCACAAAGGAAACTGGAACATGAATTGGGCATTAAACGAGAGCAGTTGCCTCTTGAAGATTTTGTATTTTTGACTAAAATTCATTATTTGGCACCATCTGATGGAATTTGGGGAGAACATGAAGGTATTTAAATTAATAAATTTTATAAATTTTATAAACTTTAAATTATTAACTAACCTTAAAAAAATTTTTTTTATACTTTCTAATTGTAAAAAAAAAAGTTGACTTTATTCTTATTATTCGAGCAGATGCTAATCTTGAGACTAATAAAAATGAAGTTAATGCTGTTGAATATATATCAAAGGAAGATTTACAAAAAAAATTTCAAAATCCTGGTGGTAAGTTAATCATAATAATTTTTATTATTTCTGTTCACAATTTTGTATTTTACTATAATTTCTCTTTTCTTTCCTTTCCTTTCATTTCTTTCATTTCTTTTCCAATTGTTTTTTAGATTGGAAATTTACTCCTTGGTTTAAATTAATCTGTGAAAATTTTCTTTTTGATTGGTGGGAAAAATTGGATAATCTTGAAGAAAGTAAAGATATTCATAGAATCCATAGATTATGATTCTAATTTTAATACACATTCTTTTAATTCTTTTATTTAATTAAATTATGTAAGTCTTAGTAAATTAACTTTATCTCTTAAACATAAGCAATTTCGGGGCAAATTTGCCTGCAATTTTTCCCTAATTTAAGTTTGTGCAACAAAATTTTTATTATGAATAGCTAATCATTAATATCACATGATCAAACTCGATCATATAAAGTCACCTGATTTTCGCGTTTGAAAATTAATAGTGCCGATTTTACAAAAATTTACTCTTCATAACTAGCTAAAATAATAATAGAAAATGTAATGAGAAAAAAATATTTACTATTATTATTTTAATTATTATGAAGTGGAATTTCAACTTTAAATATAAGCAAATAAAAAAATAATCTTTTTTTTAATGTTGCTATATTACTAATTAAGTACCTTAAACTTAAAGAATTAGATCTGCTGTGAAATGTGCACGTCTATTACTTTAAAATTGACCGAATAATGATGCTTAAATTTTTTTACAAAATTTAAATATTTCTCATTTGGTCAAATTAAAATCAACAGGCGTGTAAATTTTACAGAATATGCATTTTGTTCTTTACTTTGAGGTTTCTTAATAGTACTTTTGATGTTTAATTAGTAAATAAAAAAAATCAAAATTTATAAAATTTGTAAAATTAATTTAAATTAGAATATAGGTAAGTCTTTTAAAAAAATTGAAAATGTTATTAAGAAATCTTAAAGCTAATAATAAATTAAATAGACTGTAAAGTTTACATGCCTATTACTTTAAAATTGACCGAATAATATTTTAAAATTTCAAAAGTTATTGTAAGTTTAAGCACTTATTATTCGATCAATTTTAAAATAACGGTGTAAATTTTACAACCGATGCATTATTTATCAAGTAAAATGTAGCAACGATCGATCTTAATTTTCGAAATTCTAAAAATGATTGGCAAATTTGCCCCAAAACCGTTTAAGATATAATGTAATCATATGATGTAAATGTGCCATAAATAGTTTATAAATAATTTAAATAAAATCTAAATTACATTATTTATTGTTCATCATCAGTTTGTTTCCTAAATTCATCCAACACTTTCTTCGCTTTACCACTCAAAATACTTTCTCGAGCCAATCTCACTCCATCTTTAAAATCTTTAGCTAATCCAGCTATTACCAAAGCAGCTGATGAATTTAAGAGTATAAAATCTAAAATGGGACCATTGTATTGATTAGAAAGTATTTGAATTAGAAGATCAGCATTTTCTTGAGGGTTTCCACCTTCAACTGCACTTATAGGATGATTGGGCAATCCGAAATCAGATGGTGTTACTGTATATTCTTTTATATTTGATTTTGAAAGATGCCAGATCTAGATTAAAGAATTATTAGATCAAAGAATAACATTAGATTAAAGAATAAAATTCTTATAACATTAAGTAATACTAATAATAATTATTTCGCCGAAGTAATAATAATAATACTTACAAAAGTTTCACCTTCCGTACTTATCTTTACGATTTACAAACGATAATTATAAATAATTACATTATTTCTTGTTATATTCTTTCGAAATTTTAACTGATACAAAATTATATTTGCAAAAAAAAAAAAAAAAAAAACTCACTTCATCTAGACCAATAGCTCCATGAACAACCATAGCTTCTGTTACATTTCTTAATTTTAATGATTCAATTACCAATCTTCCTAAATTCTTTTTATATACTCCAATTAAAACTCGTTTTGGTTTAGCAGGATTACTTAAAGGACCCAATAAATTAAATATAGTTGGTATTCCTATTTCTCGACGCGTAATTGCTGCATTTTTTACTGCTGGATGAAATGTTGGTGCATATAGGAAACAAAAATTTGTGGAATCTATTATTTGTGGAACTTTGGTTGGTGACAGATTGGTGATTTGACATCCTACTTTTTCGAGAATGTCAGCAGAACCACATTTTGATGAAGCGGATCTATTTCCAAACTATTAATATATAAACTTAAAAATTAGGTGTCAAATTTCAAATAGATATATATATATATATATATATAATATTTTTTTTTTATCATTTGAATCTAACCTTGGCCACTTTGCATCCAGCACCTGCAATAACAATTGCTGTCGTGGTTGATACATTAAAAGTATCCTTGCCATCTCCACCTGTCCCTACAACATCTACAAGTGATTCTTGTAATCCCTCATATATTGAAAAATCTAAATTGACAGCAAATTCAAGCATTGAACTAACACAAGTTGCGACAATTCCTGGGTCAGAGTCCTTATGTTGTAACTTTAAAGCTACTAAAAAAGACGCAATTTGAGCAGAAGTTGCTCGTTGCTGCATTATCTCAGAGATTGCATCATGTGCATGGGTTTTGGTAAAATTATCTGGTTGAAGAGTAAGAATTTTAATAATATCTTGTATCGTTGACATTCTTGGTATACAGTGCAGATAGGAATTGGAAAATCTTAAGTGGTTATACTATGAATCTATTTATGAAAAAAATATTTTATCAATTTTCATCACCTGATGCAATTTTAGCCAATTATAATTTAATAAGGATCATTATAAAAATTAAAGATTAAAAATTTTATTTTAATTATTTAATTTATTATAAATTACATCAAAAGATTTATTTTTTAACTGAATATTCTGCCATTTTTCAGTAATACCTTTTCTTTTATATATCCAAACCTCCAGGATTTTTGTTCATATATTTAAATAGTTAAAGAAATTAAATATTAAATCTAAAATTTCAAGAACAGTTTTTTAAGTGAAATTATAATGATTTGCTATTTAGTATATAATTAAATATATATGGACTTCAACCCAGTAAAAATTTATCAATTTAAATCAGATCTGAAAGCCTATAGGTTCTAGGCTACTATTTTCTGCGGTTAGAATTTTTAAAAAAGTTGAACAATTTTTACTATAACCAAGAGGTTCCGCACAATAGCAATAACTAATAAATAATAAGTAATAACCTTATTACAACTTTCACGTATTTCATTCATTAGCATCCCATTCTTTTCCATAATGTAAAGTCCAAACAGAAGAAACTGAAAACACGGGAAACAAGAAGATTTTTAAATGAGATTATATTACATATACGTTTTCTCGGTGACACAAATCTTACCATAAAAAAATTTCACTCCAACGCATGGTTAGGGTAGTATATTTATCACACCCTTCGAATATCGATTTTTAAATATCCTTAGAATTTTTTACATGCAGAAATCATATTTGTCACCAGAATTTGTCACATAATATCTACATGAGATGTATTTCTGATCACCTGTTAAATTATGAACCAATAAAGTAAGTTCAGATCACCTGATATAAATGTTTATTTTTTAGTGTAGAGTGGATAAAAAAAAATAATGGAAAAGGTCATATAAAAAACATAACGTTGAAAATTCACAACATAGGCCCACGCACATTTTAGGACCATTCTATATGCCAACGCCTATTTGTGGATGTACCTCAGGTCAATATACAGGAAACAAGGATTTTAGGCTAAAAGGCTTCAAATAGTAATATTTCATTTTTGTAGGGCGCGGTTAAGTGAATAGTATAAAATAAAGATTTTTTTCATGTGAAACTTATTACTACATATTGTGATAAACAAAATATACAGTAAAAATAAAATAAATCGAATTCATACATAAATAGTTTAATTACTGTCTGCTTTTTCTCTCTTCTAAACCTATTTAGTGACTTGTGAATTTTTTATCTTCTTTACTCGCATTATTTTGTTTAGACCTTATAGAGATTACAAAATATGACAAAAACAAAAAATTTGTTGCGGGTTTGAAATTGATAACGTAATTGATAATGGAATTGATCAAAAATTACGCATACAGCATTTAGTGACGAGCTTGTGACCTGTATGAAAATCAGTGGCTTAAGATTACACAAAATTATCAAAAATTTTGTTGCGGATTGAAATGAAATTAATGATATGAAATGATCAAATATTACGTTTAAAGTAATTAAAATAATATTACACATAAAGTAATTATAATAATTTTACGCCTAACTATAACGATACAATATTTACAGTTTATGGGAGATCTACAAATCAACAAATCTCTTTGTTTGTTTTGTTTCTATATTAGCATTAATTGTATTTAATTGTATTTCTAAGTGATGCAAAGATTACGTTTTCGATATATTTTGTGTAACATATAGAATTGCATTGCATTATGTATTATTTCTAAATTTAGTGTTGACTCATCTTTTCATCTTTTCATCTTTTCATCTTTTGCGAAATAACCAACTCAATTTTTAAAATGAAAGAATTAGAAAAATATCGTAAAGATTCGCGCTATAAGAAATATGTACAACTTGTGGAAAAAATATTACAATCTTTTGATAAAGAAGTCAATGAATGGGCTGATTTCATATCTTTCCTAGGAAAACTTTTAAAAGTAAAATTTTAATTTTTTGTTTAAAAGGATTCTTTTATTATTATTTTTTTATTCACTTAAAATATAATAACTGATTTGAAATTATTAATCGTTTGTTGTTTAGGCTTTTCAATCATATCCACAATTTCCTGTAATACCTCGAAAATTGATCGTCGCTAAACGTCTCGCACAATCATTAAATCCGGCTTTACCTCCAGGGGTTCATCAAAAAGCACTGGAAGTTTATGATTATATTTTTGATAGTATAGGGGTAAGAAATCTTTTTGAATTTCATTTTATAATTTTTATTAAAGGAAAAAACTCGATTCATCAAAGAAATAATAATTTTAAAATAGACCGAACAATTAGCAGATGATTTATCCATTTACGCTCAGGGACTCTTTCCATTTCTTCAGCATGCTTCAATGTCCGTAAAGGTACTTAAATTATATATTATCAAAGATTTTATTATTATTATTATTATTATTATTATTTTTTAAAAATATTTTGTTAACGATTTGAAGTAATAATATATTTGTATATATTTTTAATATGATTTTTTTTTTTTTGATTAGCCACAATTACTTGGAATATATGAAAAATATGTCTTTCCACTCCGTGCACGTTTACGTCCTGTGATGAAAGCTTTACTTACAGCACTTTTGCCAGGGCTTGAAGAAGAGGGAAGTGAATTCTTCGATAAGGTAAATAAAACTTTATAATTTAAAAATTTATTAATAATTTATTTAAATTTTAAAAGTTATTAATTTTCATTTAATTTAATTTTTAGGTTTTATCACTTTTCGATTATTTATCAGGAATAGTAGAAAAATCATATTTTTTTCATAATATGTGGCTTGTTTTAATAACATCACCGGTTTTACGAATCCCGGCATTACATTATTTATCGCGTCGAATGCCTAAAATCACATCAAAAGAAGGTTTTTATCAATATTTATTTGGTTATATTTTTCAGTTTATTATTATTATTATTATTATTATTATTATTATTATTAAATTAATAATTTAAATTAATAATTTAAATTCATTATATACAAATAGATGTAGCAGTCGTGCTGGGAGATGATGTTGGAATAATGGTTCGAGCATTTTCAGCCACATTAGGAGACAGAAATGTATTGGCTCAAAGAGCAATTCTTGATCTACTTGTTATTAATTTTCCATTAAAAGATAAGAACCTTGGAGAGTATGTAATATTTCCTAATCATTAAAATTATTTAATGAATATGCATAAATTAGTAATAATATTATATTTATAATTTATAAATATTTAGGATTATGCAACAAGATGATCTTATATTATTAATGAAATCAGCAGCTTCAGTTGTATTAAGAAAAGATATGTCATTAAATAGAAGACTTTATGCTTGGCTCTTAGGACCAGATGATAATCCAGAACAACAAACACAATATTTTCAAGATTATGGAAAATCTGCAATGGTCTCTGCTTTAAAGGTTAGCATTCAATGAATGTAAATAATAATTAGTGAAAAATTGTGAAAAATTGTTGAATATTATGTATTTAGAATTTATTTATTATTTATTATATAATTCTTAATTTCATTTTATAATATATAGAGTTTATTCTTTGCTCAAGCAGATGATTTAGTTACAGCACAGAAACCATTCAAGATTTTAATTTCATTATTGGATAAATGGGAAATTGGTTTACTTTTAGTAGAAGATTTATTGATTGACATATTATGGTCATTGAAAGATCACGTTGAAAAATCGACATTTGGAATAGAAGTGAGAATTAATTAATTTGTCATTTGCTTAATGATATATAATAGATTTAATATAATTGAGATATTTGATATTTAACATATTTGAAATATTTAAATATTTATTTATTTTTAAGTTACTTCAAACAGCGAATATGTTTCTAGAAATGATTGATTCATATTTGATTTGGATGAAATTATATGGTTTGGTTCAAAATAGACTTTCATTTAATGATGGTTTAGATACTGCGGTTAGTAAAGATTATAAGAAAATTTTTGATTATTGGTTCATTTTTCTTCACTTTCTCCACTATCTTTACTAAACATAATTTCTTATAAATTTAGGCTTTAGAACTTATGAAATTCGTACTGAGTTCTTTCAAGTTACACGAAGAAGAAATTGAAAAAATACATTTACCATTATTCTTAACAGCTTTATTATGCAAACTAAATGTAATTAATTATTTTTATCATAATTTTTTTTTATTTACTTTCCTTTATTCACTATTCTTTATTTTTTTATCTTATTTTATTTGTTGTTTTTTTTTTATTTATCATTTTTTTTTAGGATTTTTCAAATGAACCAAATTTTAGTACTCATATTTCGAAAATTGAATCAGCTTTAGAATTGGCATTAAATCTCTTTAAAAAAATTCACCGTTCTGTTTTTAATTATCAAGTTCCAGTAACGAATACCTTGCGAAATCTTATCAAAGATAATGAAGATGAAATTGATTCTTCAATGGATTCAACAGAGGATTCTAAAAATATTCAAAAATCTCAAATCGATTTAGATTTTGTTTCCGGAATGGATCCAATGAAATATATTAATGATTTTTATAGTGGAAATGAAAAAATTGCAAATAAGAAATTTAGTGGCATTCGTGGACGTTATTTGGCTGAAGAATTATTAAAAGCGATACAAGGATTTTTACAAAAATTAATTACACGAATAATTTTAGTGAAAGATCAAGATGTTGGTATTTCTAATCCTGGAACTTTATCTAAAATAATGGATTGTGGATGTGGCCTTTTAAGAAATATATCAGAGAGAGTTAATCAAATTGTAAATCAAATTGTTGAACAATTAGTATTAATGAATTCTCAAGAAAATAGAGAAGAAAATAAAGAAATTATTTTATCAAAATTATATAGTAAAGAATGGATCGATGCAACATTAAAATGTTGTTACATGGTTAAAAATTTTAATATTATCGATTCTGCATTGTCAACTTTACTTTTTCTTATAATTGATAAACGACTCATTTCTTCAAATTTACTTGATACTAAACATCAAATACGAGAAATAGTTGACACTTTATGGAGTTTTTTGGGACCTCAACATAATTTTTTACATTTCAGAATAGTTCAATTAATTTGGAAACTTAAAGATCTTTCATCAGCGAATTATGTTGAAGCAATTATTTCGGAATATTTATTAGAAAAGGATATAAAGAAGAGAGTTACAAATTTCGAAAAATTTAATATTTTTTGGTTGGCATCAGAAGAATTTAAGGATAAAGATTTGTCATTTATTAAACCGATGTATTTAATGTTGGATACTTTACGAGATGAAGATCCCATGAATCGACGAGCCGGAGAAACTTGGATGAGATGGAATCAAAAATCAATTCTTAGAATATTACAACCAATGATAGTGAATCTTTTAGATGCAACAATAATTAGACAAACTACGAAAGTTCAAATTGGAGAAGAAACATTTGAAATATTTTATTATGAAAAAACATTTAATCAAGCGCGAATTGATTATATTTTTACAACTTTAAGTTCGATATGTCGAGTTGGAAAGAGATCATTTTTAAAAGAAATATTTAAATCACTTGTTAAAACCGAAATAATATCATCATGTAATTGGTTACCTACAGAAATTGGAAGTTCAATAACTTATAGTGAACTTTTTATTCGAACCACCTTATTATATATTGAATCCGAAATTCCGGATAATTTATCTACCATGAAAACATTAAATGAATTAATTCATGTTCATGCAACAGAATTTCTTTTTCATCTTATAGAAATACCGGAATTCGTTAATATTAATATGGTTCATTTAGTTCATGAACTTATTTTAAGAAAATTATTTTATTGTATTCATATGAAACAATTAAGTTTACAAGCTAGATTAATACCATTATTACATTCAACAATTATTAATATTGGACCATTAAATGAATGCCCTGTGAATGGATCACTTTCATTAAATTCTCCAATAAATAAGAAATTACCTTTTGATCCAATTTATTCAAGTTCACCATCAAGTGCAATGGATATAGATATAAAAGATGATAATAATAATAATAATAATAATGATGATGAAAAGAATGATAATTCAGGATATTACAGAACAGCTTTCTTGGTTAAAGTATTAACTGAAGCTTTATCAAAATCATCTAATCGACCTCTTTTACAAGAATGGATGGATTTAATTATAAATTCATTAACTTATTTTAGATCATCATTTAATACAGTATTGGTTCAATTAATTCAATGTATTTGTGAACAATTAAGGCAATGGAAATCAGAAACACAATTTCATTATGCTTTAATAGATAATAATAATGATTCAAATATTTCTGAATCAAGAAATGGAGAACCAGCGATGTTTGATTGGGATATTATTATCTTTTTGAATGGATTTGAAAAAATTGTGAAAGATTGTTTAAATAAACATTCTATTGATGATTATAATTCTTCTTATGCAAGTTCAAAAAGTTATGAAACAACATTGGGACTTCCCACATTAACTGGTTATATGACAGGTGTATTTTCAATGGAACAAAATGAAACTTCAACACCTGAACAAAAAGTATTTAATATTTAAATTTAAATTTTTTTTTAATTATTTATATTTAAATTTAATATATATATATATATATATATATATAATTTATATTTATTAATTTTTTTATTATTCTTTATTTCATTTCATTTTAGCCTCGTGATTATATATTGTACACAGTTTTCCCTAATATCGTCGCCATAATATTAGATATATGGTCGGTCTTCAAAAATGTTTTTATACCAAATCGACTTTTAGGTACATTTACCTTCACGCTTGAGTATACAGGTAAAAGAATAAAAGAAAGAATTAAGAAACTTTTAGAAGAACTTCACAAAAGAGCACAAGGAGAACTTGTTGAAGCATTCGTGGAACTTTGGTATATTGAAAATCCGGATGTTTCTGCTGTAATCTCTGAGGTAATAATTTTTATTTATCATAACTTTCTATCTATCATTATATTTTTAAATAATTTGTTTGATAAAGAATAATTATAATTCTTATACTTAACTCAATATCATATATTAACATTCTCTAAATATTAATATATGAATTTATTTATTTATTTATTTATTTATTTATTTATTTATAAAATATAAAAAAATAAAATAAGCCTGTATTTAAAGATATAGACAGTACTGTCATAGAAGTGCTAAAAGCTATTCCTGGTTCTTCACCGACAAAAATAATTAACACACTTTTAGTAAGTGCACGTAGTCGGTCAGCTGGTGGGAATACTCCCAAATATAAAAGAACTGTAACTAAAAATAGTAAATTGTAAGTAAACTTTCTTCAACAATAATAATAATAATATTTATTCCCGCTTTTTGAAATTAATTAATTCTTAAAATTTTGTATTATTAGGACTGATATTATGATCTTACGATTTCTCGAGGTTTATGCTGATTCTTTAAAAAATATGGATCCATTAATTGAAGCTTGGCCTCAATGCATATCTTATATAAAGGATTATTATGCACAAGCATCTGTTTACAAATATTTGTTCCCATCTTTATTAAGGTATTAATCACTAATTTATTTTTACCATTTAACTATTTATTATTATTAGATTAATAATTAATAATTAATTTATTTATTTTATTTATTTTTTAATTCTTTATTTTAATAGATTTATGCATGAATTTGCCGATAGATTATGTTCTTCTGCATATTTTGAGGAAAAGAAAGTACGAAAAGAAATGCAGGTATTTTATAACAGATTATATATTTTATTGTTTAAGTTTAATTTCAAATTTTTAATTTTTAAGTTTAATCTTTCATTATTTAATAATTTAAAAATTATTATATATATATATATATATATATATATTTCATTTCTTACTTTAGGACGTTTATCAACGAGTTTTAGATTACTGCATCTTGATTGCTGGACGTTCATTTGATCAAGGATTATGGCTTAGACGAACCCTTGTCCAAGATGGAGAAGATAGAAACAGTAGTGATGGTATGAATTATCAATTTACTCTTGAATACTTTAAAAAATCATTTTTCCGATCTCTCATTATTATTCGTTGAAATATATTTAATATATATATATATATATATTGTCATATGCTATTAGAAACTATTGATAAAGAATCCGAATCTGGACGATTAATTAATACAACAATACCTGAAGAAAAAAAAATATCATGGAAATCAAAAGAGGAAGTTTTAATGGAACAGGTAATATTAGTAATATTAGTGACGGCATTTTATTAGTTACTTTTGAATAATTATTTTTAAATATTATTTTATTTTAATTTTCCTAATTTTTTAGATTAATCTATATCTTGCTAATGTTATTGTACCAAATTTAAGACGAATACTCGCAGATCAGGATCGGATTACTTCTGTTGTCACCAATATAGTATATTATATTATTTCATCAGCATTAAAAAATCGACCCAAGTAATTATATTTTAAAACATTAAATAAAAATAATTTTATTCCCATTTTCATTCTCATTTTCACTTCCATTTTCATTTTTTTTTTTTTTTTCATTTACAAAAACTAGTTCCGGAGTGAATTCTGTAATTCTTGACCTTCTTTGTGAAATTTCTAAAATACCTTTCGTATATCGGGTATGGCGCAAAGAAGCTTGGGATGTATTTATTGATAATCGATTTTTTAATATGAGTCCCTCTGCTGCTAAAAAATGGAATATAATAATGCAAACAATAATGACTTCCGAGAAAGAAAGATTTGCTGAAGTATTGGGTAAATATTATTTTTAACAATAATTCTAAATTATAATTATAATATAATATAATGATTTTAAATTATAATAACAATTTTTAAATTATAATTATTTTATAATAATAAGCACGTATAAATACTACTCCTGCCAACGCTTTATTCGTTAATAAGGAATATGAATCTTTAAGTCGCGCTTTGAATCTACGAAGACTTTCTTATATAATATTTTGTGGTAAATTGGATCAATACATAAAACAATTGCATAGCATAGCTGAAAAATTAGTAGATTTATTCAAATTAGGATTTGCTGAATTAGTACATGCTGAGGTAATATTATAAAAATTTCAGATTATTATTATTTTTTTTTTTTTTAGATATTATAATTTTGATAATAAAGAATTATTATTATTTATTATTCAATTAAATTAGATTTATTTATGTTTACGGATATTAATGTGTCGTATTTCAAATCAACGTTTGTCAAACTTTTGGCCAGGTATTCTCACAGAACTGGTAAGATTATTTATATATTATTATTATTATCATCATCTTCATTTTATTAAATTAATAAATGATTAAATATTTTTTTTTTTTGTTTAGATTAATTTATTTGGAACTTTTCTTCAAAATGAGTCATCTCGAAAAGAAAACATAGCCGAACAGCATGAAACTGCTAATTCGTTCTTGGCTGCATGTAAATTTTTGGATTTGTTATTCGTATTGCAAACCAATGATTTTCAAGTGTAAGTTAAAATTTATTCTTTTGAATTTATTTCTATACGTTAAATATTAAATAATGGGAATTAAATTATTTTTATATATAGATATGAATGGATGTTCATCGCGGATACGATTAATATAATTAATCATTCTCTTGAATTGTCTCCTTACGCTCTCTTGGACAAATTAGCTGATCATTTATCTGGACAACAAAACGATATTTCAAAGGTAATTTATTATTAAACTTTATTGTAATTTATGCATTTACTAGTCAAAAAAAAAAAAAAAAAAGATAATCATCATTATTATCATTATTATTATTATTTAGTTACGCTTGGATAATTTATCAAATAGTCAATTCCAATCAATATCACCATTATCTTCGGTTACCAATGTGGCAAAAACAGAATATAAACGTCCCATGCTAAAATTGAAAAGTATTTCTAATATAAAGCAATTGGAATTTTTTGTTAGAACTATTAGTTTATATGTGTATCAATCAACTTACGCACTGGCAAAACCTGATATTCCATATATTGAAAGTTTATTAGAGAATGATATGTTAGAATATGAAGAAGTAAATATTGAAGCAAGTGGTAGCGAAATTTTTTAAATATTTATAGTTTTCAATTTATTTATTTATTTATTTTTGTATTATACTTTTGTAATTTTTGTTTTATTTAATTAATTAAAATTTTTATTTTACCAAAATTATATCCAATTTTTTTTTTTGTATGAATTTTTTGGTTGCATTTTTGATTGCACCTTTTTGATTGTATCTTTGATATGAGTCTATCCTACAAGCAAGACTCTTCTAGATCATATTTATTTAAATATATTTTATTTATTGGACATAATACCGGCAGTTATTCCGTCGCGAGACGCGAGGTGACCCCTGATCTTGTTTATAATGCACGTGATCGATCATCACATGCGTAATAAATAGGTCATAACATCTTGATCTGTTTTAGTTTTTTCTTTAGTCTTTAATTTCTTTATTTTATTGTATTTACAATTCTTTTTACCACCTCCACTGAAAACACTAAAGAATTGAAATGTCTACATCAAAACGTGGAAGAAAGCCCAAAGTAAAATCAAGCGAAGCTAATACAGAAATTAATGAAATTGAAACTTCACCTAAAATTAAGTCACTAGAAGAATCAACGACTACCACTAAACGTGGTCGAAAAACCAAGTTTATTTCAACTGAAAATGATACCAAAAATAAAAATGATATTGAGTCTACAACAGTCACTTCACCTACTACAAAAGAAACAACGACTACAACTAAACGTGGTCGTAAACCAAAAAATAATAAAGGAGTTGAAACTCCAAAACTCACTGAAGCTGAAACAACGACCACTATTAGACGCGGTCGTAAAAAAGAAACCGCAACTAATAATACAGATATTGTTAATTCTAATGAAATAGATATTAATAATTCTAATGAAACCAATATTTCAGATACTACAGATACTCAAACTACTACTACAAGCAATAAAAGAGGAAAGCGAAAACAAAATAAAACTTCAAATGATATAAAAAATAGTTCACCCGAGAATACTAATACAGGGAATAATGATGATACAATTATTTCAGTTGAAACTACTCAAAATACTACAATTGATCGAAGGGGCAAAGGAAAGAATAATGAAGAAAACGAAGCATTTACTAACATCAATTCTGAAGCTACGCCAACTGAGATTACTGTAAAATCTTCAACTGGTCGTAAAAGTAAGAGAAAAGTTGAAGATATCCCTAGCGATAGTGATAATGAAACAAAGGCACAAACTTCTGGAAGGAAGAAGGCCAGAAAAATCCCCAATAAAATAGTTGAAAGTTCATCAACTGCTGCTGCATCAAAATCAAAAGGAAAAGGAAAGGCAGACGCAACCAAAAATGAAGAATCATCCAAACCAAAACGAAAAAGAAAGACAGCCGATGATGAAGACGGGCAAGAATCAAAGGGAAAAAAATCCAAAACAAACCAAGAAGAAGAAAAAAGACTAGCTAGATTTAGATTTGTTTGTTCTTCTGTTAGTAATGGTTCATATAATTTGATTTAAACTAGGATTATATTCATTTATATATATATATATATATATATATATATATTATATATTTATTTCTTTCTTTCTTTATTTTAAATTTATTTTAAATTTATTACAGGCCACCCAAGATAGAATTGGACGAGCAGTATCCCAACGCATGTATATGATTAACCGAACTGAGATCAACGATTTACACCAAGAATTCACGGTTTTAGGTTCAATTGGAAATGTACGTGGAATAAATTAATTAATTATATTTTATATGTATTAATAATTATTTAATTATTTGAAAAAGTTTTTTACCAATAACATTATATCTTTATTTTCTTTTCTTTAGGTTTATACTGTTGTTATTACAAAAGTCCCATCATGTTCTTGCCCCGATTTCCAGAAAGGTTAATTTGATTCTTTTTATTATTTCAGATTTTTTATATCATGCAAAATTTTGATCTTAACCATAATTTATATTTTGTTATATTTAATTAGGAAATCTCTGTAAACACATCGTAAGCAAAAGAATACTTTTAATTAATCTTGCAATTTATTCATCTATTTTATATATTTTATATATTTATATTATTAACAATATTTATTTATTACTATAATAGCTTTTTATATACTTAAAAGTTTTGAGAGTAGATCGACGAAGCAACCTTATTTATCAGAAAGCATTATTAACAGATGAATTGAAATCAATTTTTGATAACGCAGCCCCTGATCCAACTGTTTTGGTATAATTTTATTTAATATATATATATATATTTTTTATTTATATTTATATTTATGTATGTATAAATTATTGTAACTTACTTTTTTTTTAAAAAAAAATTATTTATTTATTTATTTTTTTGTTTGATGAGCAGGCAAGTAAAAAGGTTCAAGAACAATATGCAGCAATTGCTTCGGGAAGTCAACCAGTCGAAGAAGCTAATGATAAACGTAGACCAATAGATGGTGACTGTCCAATCTGGTACGTTGTATTATATTCTTAAAATATTATAGAACATTGCATTAAATTAATCTTTCAAACAATCAAATCTTTTATATTATAACAATTAGTTACGAACCTTTGGATGAAAAAGAAAATTTGGTTTGGTGCAAAAGTGGTTGCGGCAACAATTTACACAAAGATTGCTTTGCGCAGTGGAAAAAATCAAAATCAGTTTATGATAAAGTAAAAATAATAATTATTCATATTATTTTTTCTTTTTAATTTTTGTAATGGTATATATTAATAATAATTTTTCATATAAAAGGTTACTTGTGTCTATTGCCGAATTGAATGGGAAGAAGAAAAATCAGGGGAACCTACAAACGATGAGGGATATATAAACCTTGCAGAAGCACAGGGAATGTCAATTAAACGAGGTACGTAATATTTTTCTTTTTTAAACGTATCTTTTCGATCTTATATCGTATTATGTATAAATTCAATGCATTCAATATTGATGATTCTTTTCTAATATTATTTATTTTTAGATACGTCTACATATCATAACAGATACAGATATAGAAGATACAGATAATTCAATTTACACAGAATGAAATTCTTATTTTTTGATATCTTAATCTTTTTTTTTGGTTCTTTCTATTTTCAATCATCTTCTATCTTTAAAAATCTTTTGTAAATTTCTTGATGATGTGGAACATACGAATTATATGTTAATAAAAAAATTATCTTTTTTATAATTCAACTCTGTGTTCCCTTCAAATGTTCTCTGTTTCAATTATGCTTTATATAGCGGACAATGCGTTGTTTGTGAACATAATGTGATAAATAAATATCTAAACATCTTGAGAATCAAAAAAGTTCTTTTTGAAACTCGTACTAAAGCAATTTATATTAGTCATTATAAAGTATAGTAGTCAATAGAAATAAAAATTCTTTAATTTTAGATGGCATAGATATGGGGGAAGTTTTACATGGAAGATAGTGAATTTGCGAATATTAAGAGGAATTTCAACATTGTATCATCATTTTTGGTAAATAAATTAAATAAATTATAAATTTTTATTCTAATATTTTGATATTATTTTGAATTAGTTGAATTAGTAACAATCGCAAATAAGATGTTTTACAACTGGTTTCAAGTTGAAAATAAAGGTCGAAATTACACTTTCTGGAAATGATTTTATTGATCTTTAAAGCTAAACGATTATTTTCAAATTAATTACTCCTTTTTAAAGATTTTGATTGAAAAGAAATTTGATCCTTTTTTTTTTTTTAGCTCGACAAAAAAATCTGGTGATTAGAGATAGATCATGAAAATTCTTACTTTATTTCAGTTAAAAGAAGATATCTTCGCACCCTATGATTCAAATTTAGTAGTTTATAGCTTGTTGGATTTCTCTTAATAAGACGAACATTTTGGTGGGCATTTTATTCAAATTGGACATCTTTAACTTGAGTTATTAATGTTAATGTTTATTTTTGTTCAAAATTAGGTATGACATTTTTATAATATTACTCAATTCAAATTTTCATCTTCTAATCCATTTTTCTATAAACCACGTTCAATTAAAATTTTTTTCATTCCTTTTGGTTCACCATTTTCATTTATCATTGATTGATATTGATTAATTAATCCAAAAACTGTATCTCTCATTTTTGGTTGTTTACCTCCAGACTTTAAATTCATTTTACTGGCTACAAAGTGCATCAGATTTAAATGCATGGTTTGAGATGCAAATAATGCAAAAATTGAAATTGCTTTTGTTTTTACTTGTTCAATTAAATGTCCACTTGTCCAAAATCCTTCTTGATTTTTTCCAGGTTGAAGATAAATACGTGTTTCTCTAGATATAGAAGAATTCTCTTAAGCCTGTTACATTCTTCAGATAAAAATTCACTAACCATTATTGAACGTCTATTTCCTTTTTTACGTAATGGTAATTCACCAGATTTCAAAATTGGTGATTTTTGTTTCATATTTTCTTCATATTTTACCATATATTTTTCATATTCAAACATTTTCTCCAAAAATAATTTTTGTTGCTTTACAACATTAGGACGTTCATGTCCATCATAATATGTTTCTTAATATATTTGAAAATTTAAATGTATTTAAAAATTATAAACAATATTTTATTATTAAATATATATCTTACTTATGTGATTGAAAAAAATAATCAAGTACATTTAACCAGTGCTTTAAAGTTGTTATACTTATGATTTTTTTTTCATAATTCCAGAATTAATTAATAAATTTTGTTCAACAAATTCTTTAAATTTTTTTGATGTAATTGTTCCTTTTTGAAATTGAGACATTCTTCAGCTATATCTTCATCATCTATTAATCTGATTGTTTTTTGATGTTTTCCTTTATGATTTATTGGAAGGTAATTATATTTAAGCCAATAATTTGTCCAGTATTAAATAGTTCTTGCTTTGTATAGTGTATATTTAATAAAAATCAATTGTACTGCTTCTTTACTGACTTTAATTTTTCCTTTTCCATTTTTATCTAATCTTGTTTATTATTCAAAAATTGCACGTTTTTTATTATATTCCATTACTGTTAATATTTTTTGTTGTTCTTGAAGTTCAAGATTCAAATTCTCAATCTTTTCATTTATATTGTAATAATTCCATTTATCATTATCTGTATTTAAAATCTCATCAAAATCATCAGGAATTGAATTATTAATAAAAGTTATTATTTTTACTGTTCCTTTTGCTACTTTTGTAAATGTATCACTAGGTTCATATTTATCATAAAATGTTGATTTTTTGGTTTTTCCAGAAAGATCCATGCTTTTCCTTTTTTAAATAAGCATCATTTCTCCATTTTAATTTTAAGGGTTTGTCTTTTATTTGTTCAAATGTTGAATTTTCTTTTATTAAATCAGATTCTTCATCCCATCCACTATCATTATCATTTTCCCATTCTTCATCATAATTACATATTTTTTTCAAAAATCTTCCATTATCATTATGTTGCATTTTTTGATATTGATTTTTCTTTTAGATAGATGAGTCATTATTATTTATAAATAATAAGTATTTTCTTTAAAATGTTAAAGTTTTTTTCTAAAAAAGGAATAAAAAAAATATAAATAATTTACAAATCCCAAGTTTCAATTCTATCAGTTTAATTTTTTTATTTTTATAAAAAAATTATTTTATAACAATTTAAAGTTACATAAATTTATTGTGACTTATAGGTGAAATATACCATAAAAGTATGAATTTTATAACTATACAGTATGGAACTTCTATAATAGGTACTTCGAATATTTTTTGATCTAGTAATCAGAATTTAATAAAAATAGTACTATTGAATAGCTCTTGAATAAATAAACAAAATAGGCAAAAAAAAAAAATTCTCAATTTTTCTGGTTAACAAAAATGTGATCTAGGATAATTTTTATTAACTAATTTAATTTTATATAAATGTAAATAAAAAATATATTAATATATTATTCATTATGATCATTTTCTAAAATAATTTAATTAAGTATATCATCAGAAACTCTTCTATGTAATTTGTATTTTTTTTTTACAAATATTGCAAGTTTTCCTGTTATACCTTTTCTATAAATATCCATATATCTCTATAATTCTCTTGTAAAATGTCTTATTTGAATTAATAAAATAGAATCCAAGGTTTCAGCTTCATTAATTATTATTTTCAATTTTAACTTTTGTAATAAAAAATTAAGTAGTAAGGATATAATTTTATAAGCACAACAATCAGTTCTTGTTGAATCTTTAACTTTGTTTTTGATTGACAATTAAGAATTAATTTATCATACCATAATCCTTGTTTAATTAATATTTGTTTAATACCTTTTGGTTTGTTTGGATATTTTGGATGAAATATCTATAGATGCCATTGTTACAGAATGAAATTATCATGGTCAAAAAGTATAGCATGCAAATATCAAAACACCTGCAAATAAATAACAATAACTTTAGAAATAATAATGTTTAAAATTTAATAATAAATAACAAATAGTGATAGTTTAATAATTTTTCAACTAATATTTATAACTGGTAACACACATTAATTAACCACGGAATAGTAGTACAATATCACGTGTTCACGTGATATTTAGTTACACAAACATAATTATCAATTCATAACATTAATTATTATCACATATTATTATTTAACAATAATTATTAAATATATTTAGTACATAGCATAAAGAAATAGTAATCAAAAGAAGGAATGCACAGTAAGGCACAGTAAGGTACAGTAGTAACACAGTAATGAAGATTATTAGATTTGAGTATAAAAAGGAACTAAAAATATCTTGCTCCTCTCTAGTTTACAATTTTATAACTTTGAATTTTGATAATTTGTAACTTATTTAAAATTGATAAATTTAATTTTATAATTTATAACTCCAAGATAAATACTTGTAAAAATTACCTTGCAATTGAATTAATAAAATAATAAATATTGGAAATATTAAATAAAAGTCATATTAAATGATAAAATATATAGTTAACAAAGGAATAATAGATATTATGGAATTAAATACTTAGTTTTATAATTGTATAATATTATTATTCTTTAGTTAATGAAATTAATTATAAATTATCATTATAAAATCCTGGACTTGAAATAATAATTAACCTGAATAAATAGAAGTAATACTTAATAATGATAATATTGAAAATCAATTAATGGAGTAATATTAATACTAAAAGTAATGATGAACTTGAAAAGATATTGAAATAAATTTAATGAAAGATCTGATTCCCTTTCTAAAATAACTGAATTAGTGATACCTTCTAAAATAACTGAACAATAGTCTTACCTTTGAAAAAAAATTATAAACTACTTAAAAGAACTGTTAAATCACTCTACTGATATAACTTCAAGGGAACCAGAAACCACCAGTGACATCATCCAAATTCAAAATACTAAATTCCAAATTTCAAATTCCAACTTTCAAATTAATAATTGTTGAAATTCAAAATTCAAAATTATATCAAATTCCAAATTCCAAATACTATAAAAATTGAATTTTAGCAGCTGAAATATCAAAACAATTTGGAATTTGGATGGCATATATAGAAATATCATTAATTGAAAAGTATTTTTTAATTCAAATATTGTATTTTTCATTATTGGTTGACATCTATTTGAATTTAAATTTAATATTGTATATATAAATTATCATCAGAAAATGATTCATGATTTGTACTGTTATTAAATACAAAAATAGCGATTGTATTTGAATAAATTTTTTTAAAAATTGATATGGTAAAATCTTTTACTTGTTTAATTAAATGTTTTGCAGTTCACCATCCTTCTTCATTTTTACTTGGATGTAAAAATTTTTATATATTTCTTGAAATATCAGAATATAATTTAGCTTGTTCATTTGTTAATTTTAAACAACTAATTGTTTTAGTTAAAAATTTACTAACCATTATTAATTTTTCTTGTCCTTTTTTACAAAGAGGTGGTTTATCAAGTAGTGTTCAAATTATTGAATGGTCATTATTGGCATAAAAAAGATATTCATTATGAGTTATCAAAATATAAAATATTTAATTATTTAATAAAATTAAATCTTTTTGATTCATATTGTTACTCTTAAATATTGACATTAATTTTTCATACTCTTTCACCTTTTTAAAAAAAATATTTCTATATTTTATCATATCTGAATATTCATATTCATCAAAATAAATTTTTTTTTTATAATTGTAAAATTAATTCAAGTTTTCGTAACTATAATCTAACTGTTTTTTCTAAAATTGATTTAATTATTTTCAATTGTAAAAAAAGAGTTTTGTTGATAAAAGTTTTATATAATTTTGATGAAATTTTTTTTTATTATTACAAATAAATTTCAACTCTTTTTAATTATATCTTCATCATCTATTAATGACTTGGTTTTTTGATAACAATCTTGTAATGATATTGATAATATATTATTTTTAAGTCAATTCTTTGACCATTTACAAATTGATTTTGTACAATATAATCATTTGTCAAAAATTTTCTTTGTTACATTAAATCAAACATCTTTACTATTCATATTTTTTTCTTTTTTATTAATAAAAAATTTATAAACTAATTGATACCTAAGAAAATTATATGCTGAAATTTTTTTTTATTTTGTTTAAGAATTATTTCTAATACATTTATTCTTTTTAAAAAATTATTATTATTGTTATTTCAATATCTATTTTATCTTGTATATTGTCTATAAATTCACTTGAATTTTTTTCTGATGTTTCTAATATTGAAATATCATTTTTATCTTGTATACTTTTTACAAGTTCTTCTTTTAAATTTTCTTATATTAAAATATTACTATTAATTTCTATATTAATTGTAACATCTGATTCTGCTTGTGTAAAATATTTATTAATTGATAAAAAACCTTTTGTTACTTTTGTATAAATGTCTGATGGACCATATTTTCAATATATGTTACAGTATATTTACTAATGTAAGATACTTTTTTTGTTTCATGATATTCTAAAAAATAAAATAAATTTTTATTTATTTTGTATATTTTTATATAATTTTTAATTAAATATTAAAAAACAAAAAACAAACTTGTCATATTTAAAATTATTTCACCTAATTTTAATATTTTTTAATCATAATTTTCATCTGAACTTTCTGGTGAATAATTATTATCATTATTATTACTATCCAAATATTGTGAAAAAAATTAATTAGACTGGCGGTAGGTTGCAGGCATATTTCATATTAATCTTAGGATAGACAATTCGAATTAGTCTAAGTCTCATCTTTTCAATAGTTACTAGAATAAGTTGTATATCTTATATTATGTAATAATAATGTAAGAGACTTTCTCTTTTTTTAGTTAATAAATTTGAGGCAAAGCCTCGCTGAAACTTTTTTAAAAAAAAAAAATGAAAAAAATTAACTAGTACTTTTATTACATAATTAATTCTTTAATCTATTTTTAGCAGCTAATTTTTTATTTGAAATTAATATAATAAATTATAAAATTTTTGAATAATTTTTTTGAAATTAAACAAAAATTTTATAATAAAAGATACATATGTTCTTAAACTAAAATAATTGAATTATTATATTACTACAAAATGATAATCTTTTTTTTTATATTATACAAAAATCAATTAGTCTCATTTTTTTTATTAAATAAATCTGATAGCTCTTGATCTAATCTATCAAAATTATCAGTTAAAAAGTTAAAATTTCTATTTAAAAAAGTGTAATATTTTTTTAAAAGTAACTAATTGTTACTATTGAGGTGAAAGGTTTCACACTGTATAAAATAGCTTTTCATACTGTCAGTTTATTATTATATCTAAATTGATTTACATGCAAGTTTTATCCTATTATTAATTTTTCTAAGAATATATTTATAGAGAATTCACTGTATCACTTTTTTTTTTAATTAATTATAATTTATTCTTCAATTAATTAATTAATTTATAATTTTTAGAACACATGTTTAAAGTAGAAACTGTAATTAAAAGAAATTATTTATTTTATATATTATTATATTTTATAATTTTATTATATTTTTAGTATTTTTATTTTTCTTTATTATCCTTTATGATGTAATTAAATAGAAACTTCCCTCTCACTTATATTATTTACAGTTATAATATTACTTAGTTATTATATTTAAAAATATCATGAAAATAAATTAGTTAATTGTATATTAAATATACCTGCCACCCAAATTCAAAATCCAAATGCCGAAATCCCAAATGCCGAAATCCCAAATCCCAAATTCCAAATTATGATTAGTATTTTTTGCCGAAATCCCAAATCCCAAAT